TTGAAATTTCATTTAAAGAGGGTGTCATACAAAACTGTGCTGCGATACAATTCCATAACACAAAGTTTGCACCTATCGAACTTGCTTTTGTAGGTGAATTTATTAGACATATTCCATATTCAGTTAATCGTAGGTAACATTGCTGGTACATAATGCATCGTAGATAGGTTTGTTTAAATTTAGGAATTTAGCTCATAGCCCACTAATTAATATTATCTTCTATGCAGGAGGTTGCAGGGCTGATTTCACCTTGCAGCCTTACCGATCACCTGACGATGCTCATTTAGTTTGGCTCGAGCAAGTCTTCTTGAAATGCTTGTGTGGATGGAAACTACCTATATTTTTTGCCTTCCTCCGATTTTAGACAAATTTATTCTGAGGGATTTCGCATATAATTCTCACTGATTGTTGGCTGTTTATAATTCCTATTGATTGTGAATTCTGATTATAACAATGAGTTGAAAATTTTTTTACCTAATTTACTGGCACCTTTTTCTTGTCAATACTCCAAGCTGAGGTAATAAACATGACAATACATTTATGTCATCTGGAAGCAAAATATGCACACTAATTAATAGTTTGGCACATTGAGATAATACATCATGACAGAAAATACAAGTTAAAGATATGTATGACCATCACATGGTAATTAAAATTAAAAAAAATTAATAGGGGCTGTGGAGTATGGAAAGTTCAAGACAAAGAAAAGAACAAATGTTCATAGCTCATGAACTCTCAATTTTGCCTCCATTGCTTTGATAAGGCCAGTATATTTCGAGTGGCTGAATTGGTTTATCTTTATGATAGCAAAGATTTTGTATTTAATATAGCGAGATTATTTCAATTTAATTGAAGTGATATAATTTCCCAAAGCAATGCTTGAATCGTCTAGAATAGATCAGTGGTGTCAAACTCATGGGTTTTCGAGAGCCGCATTGCATTTTGAAAATTGTAAAAAGAGCCGCAAACAGTTTTTGATAATGTATACTTAAAAGATATTTTTAAGATAGTTTTAGTTTGTGACATATATTGTGATGCAACTAAACAGTTGGATTAAGTTTTATTATTTTCTTCAATTTCAAATGCAATTACATATTAATATTTGCATTCCACTATTATTGCAACATTTGCAAGTTACAGTATTTATTATAAAAAATCGTAAAATTCTATGTACAACCATCAAAATCATTTTTGAACAAGCTTTGAATAAGGAAAGAATAATACATACACTAAAAATAACTTAATCTAAATATATGAACCTAAAATTAACAAAAATACTACAGTATAAACTCAATGTTTTAATAATTACATTTGTCCTGGCGTTTGGCATCTTTTTTGTGTCACCAGCATACTAAGGCCAGTCTGAAATGATTTTATAGTACCAACTCTAACTAACGAGGCCACATGATCATGGGTTTATCTGGATCTTTACGAATGTTTAATTAATTCCAGTAATGCAAAAAAGTTACTTTTATCATTTCATGTATAGATCAGTAAAAAAACAAATGACAGATTTTTTCGACAAGACATTTCGCACTACATTGCGTGGCATAGGATTGCTTGAATTATTATTGATATTGATTTTTAGTAACTAAGTCGTTGTATAATTATATTAATATACAAACACATGGAAATTTTCTGTTCGAAGTTGGTCTTCGAATTTGTCATATTGACTGCTGAGCTTATTGTGTTTTTTAATTTTATTGATGGAAATATGACAAATTAAACAATGTGCTTCAGAATTTTGTGAAGAGCAGAAATGTTACAACTCCCATTTTCTTCGAAAATGCCACCTTCTTCATGTACTTTGCGTTTAATTTAATTACTCAAGTGTTTTATTCAAGTATTCTTTTGCTAGCTTGATGTGTATTCTTAATTGGGTCAAAATGTGGACAAAAAAAATCAATATTCCAAAACTACTTTCAGTAAATTGTTTTCTGTGTGAATAATCAATTTCACTTTAGAAGGTTTGAAAAATCTATTACATTTAGATAAAAAAAAAAAACTTCCAAAATACTATTACAATTATTGTTAAACGTTCGAGGGCCGCACTGGAAGTTCTCTGGGGCCGCGAGTTTGAGATCCCTGGTCTAGATTGAAGTTGTTCAAAAAATATATGATAGTATTTTATCATGAATGATGATTATACCCCTTCCGGAATTTCTTCTATAGTACTACCAAAAGTTGATGAACCAAATATAACACAGGTGCAGTGAGGTACCCGTAATCCTCATTTCCAAAGCTGTTTTAAGTATGTCTGGCGTGTTTTGTGCCTTTTTACAAATAAGACCGCTTATGCAATCTTACGCTTTGGAATTTTTAGTTATTTTCCTCAAGCCCTGCAGAATGTGGGGGCCATACACAACTCTACCGGAGGGTCAAATGTCTTTGCATGCCTCCATAGGTTGTTTTTCTATTTTCAAATGCATTATATTTCTTGGAATCACACTGTCACTGATATGTCGCCAGACTTCTGATATATCCCCGTCTGCTATAGTTGTCCTGTGAATAAATAATAGGATATTGAGATTAGACGAATAGTTGAAAGTTTTGCTTTATGTCGGCTTAATTTCTTGATTGATATACTTACTATTTCTGCTATTGCCTCTTGTGCTGCAAGAGTCTCACAATGCTTAGACAGGTTTGTCCACAACTTTCACATCTGAAGAAAGAGAGGAGATTTATTAATTTTCGTTAAGAATAAATAAAGCAGTCTATATGATTCAGAATGGAAAAGCTAATAAATCCAATATCTCATGTTTTATTTAAAAAATATTTTACTGAATTTGGTATATAAACCAACTAATAAAAGGGTTTAGTCAGAAAATTACAAGCATTCGTGGCTCCAAATACTTGAGAAATCAGACTATACAATATAGACCGGTATGAGTGAAATGTTAGGTGAACTTGTTAACACTTTGATTCAATACGCAAATAAAAGTGAATGCGTAATAGTATGTTACAATGAGCAGCAATCAACAATGAGTATATATCCTCACTGATTAAAAAAATCTAACTGGAGGTGCATGAACTATTTGAAACCATAAGGGGTAAGTAAATATGTAATTTCGGCAAATGGGCAACTACGTACCGTACTGAATTAATAACTTCGTAGTATTTGACAAAGGCTGGCTTTCCCACATGTACTTAACAGTGCGATGCCCGGGTGTGATATACAACAATAGTATTCACCTTACCTTTTACCGATTTCTTTTTACCCCAACTTTCAAAAATATCATTAAAATCGACAACAACTGTCAAAGCAGGCACGAACACCATTCGTGATACGCCTTGAAAGCAGCACACATCCGCTCGTTTTCGTCTCGTCAAGTATGTGCATTGGAGCGTGCTATCGAATACGATCTTCGGACAAAAATGCCGGAGTTGCGCATCATGTTGTTTAATGTCATTGGTTACAATAATCAAAAATTTATACCGTAAACTAAAGATAAACGCTGCGATAGGTGGGCTACCTATAAGCGACACGTGGTTTATTGGAGATTCAGTTTTCAGGATATTGAATAAAAACTTATGCACGCAATTTACAAAGAATTGAGATTCTGTTATATACCACTGGTCTTGGATGCAGTGGCGTGCCTAGAGGGGGCGAAAGGGGCAGCACGTTGTAGGGGGCAGCAAAACCAAGCTGTAGCGTAGGCGTTATCACACATGTTTTTCTCGATGTGTTTTTATTAAATTAAAAGCCGACATTATGTATTTATTAATGTGTGACTGACTGGAGAGTTCACAATGGATGTTTTCCCTGCCATTGACCCAGAAAAAAAATTTCCTATCCTATTTTACAATTGCAACATTTCAGGTGCTAATTTTAAGGGTGGTTTCGCGAGTGTGCACCTTGAACTAGTTTATATGTTTCAAACAATCATTTTATTTCAAAATATTCAACCCTGGTATTTGAAAGTACGTTTATATCTTATTTGAACTAATTTATAATTTATTTTCAATAATTTATCTGTTTATCCCCCGAATTATTTTTGAAGTTGGGTATAAGGGGCAGCATTATCAGAAACTCGCCCCGGGCAGCAGAAAAGTTTGGCACGCCCCTGCTTGGATGCAACAGAATTCAAAACGATAGTTATTCGATTTGAACAAATTAAATTTGTTTCTAAGTTTAAGGGGTGGTAGATATTTAGCTATCAGCATAGGTTACTATTCGTAACTTATACTGTTCGTTATATATTTGAATTGACCATCTTGCATGGTATATATACCACTTTCTGAGAATATAAATGCATTATTGCAGGGGTGGGCAATTACTTTTCTAAGTGGGCCGGATACGGATAATAGACTCGGTTACTGGGCCGGATGCTCAATAGTATTGCGATCTTGGTATTTTGACCTTTTCTCCGATCCAGGGGTCATTTTGAATACAATATCACGATTTAATACGCGACGTGGTGTTATTCTAAAACGGTTTTACAGTGCATTTCGTAAATTGAGTCGTCAAAATATTACTAACATGGCGACAAATATCTTTTAAAGATTGCTCTGTACTGAAGAATCCGATCTAGACGCCATTAAAAAATCTGAATATTTGATAAAAACAAAAGATAGCAGCCACGACGGAGACAATCAAATGATGTTGGCACAAGCGCTTCATGCTTTCGTTGAACACGATAAAAACGAAGGTGTGTCATTGATAACGTAAGAGGTTGGGAAAGAAATGCTGCTATATGAGACAAGCAGGGCGTGTAAACATGGAAAAGTTGTATAACGCACTAAAATCAATCAAATCTATGTCAGTTAAGGCTGAACGTCCATTTTCAGCACTTGGATTTTCTGCCAACAAAAATCAGGAATCGATGCCACTCTCATGTTTTCGAATAAGGAAGATACATCACAATGTGTGTGTTTTTTAATTTTATTTATTTATTAGATGGTGGAAATCTCGAACCCGTGATTTCTAATCTGGTCCCGAAATAGCAACCCTACTTAAAACGTATTAAAACGGTTTATTTGCAAATAATTAGAGACAATGATTAATGGGACTGATGTAGCCTACCGCATGCGTCCAGAAGCTTGTTTAAATCAGGCTCGAAGCTGCTTGTGCTGATTCTTAAGACTGATTGTAGATTTGAATCCGTTAGAAGAGATCTGTTTTTGCTTTTGTTGATCTTCATACATGAAAAGGTTTGCTCGCATATGTATGTTGATGCAAACATCACAAACATTTTTCTCGCAAAATCTTTGATATTTTTGAATTTTTCTTGGTGGAGTGATTGATAAAATTCAATCAATGACTTCTCTTCAAAACTGCTTTTCAAAGCATTGTCAGCTTGGAGATCTATGAGTTCCACCTGTAACTCGTCAGCGACCGTTTCAACATCATATGAAAATGGGGACTTCAGTAAATCAAATTCATGCTCCATGGCATTGAAATCAGAAAATCTTCTGACGAATTCTTCTCTCAGGCCTGTGATAAGTCCACTGTACTTTTCTGCAGATGTAGCGTTAACAGACTGACTTTTTAGGAGGGGAAAGTGAGCATAGTTTTCATTATACATTTGTTTCGCGAAAAGTGTAAGCTTTGTTTGAAATGATTTAACTTCCAAATGTAAATCATGAGCAAATACTCCTTTTCCTTGGAGTTTTTTATTAAGTTCATTCATTTTTTGCATATATAATATCTGTAGCAAATGCAAAATCAGACATCCATTCTGTATCCCGCGCTTTGGTAGAGAAGTCACAGACTATATATTTCATTTCAAAAAACACGACAATCTCTTCTTTAAGTTCCCAAACTCTTTTTAACACGATTCCCAAACTAAGCCACCTTACATTGGTGTGGTACAGTACATCAGAGAAATCGGAATCTATGTCTTGCAAGAAATCCCGAAACTGTCTGTGATTTAATCCTTTTGATCTAATTACATTCACTGCCTGTACTACTGGTTTCACCACATGTTTGAAATCTGACCTGGACTTGCAAAGACTTCCCTGGTGTATTATACAGTGAAATGATAGAACTTTATGAAGTGGGTAATCAGCTTTAATCTTGTCATTTATTCTTTTTATCAGTCCAGTATGTTTCCCAGTTAATGACGGCGCACCATCTGTTGTTATGCTCACAAGTTTATCGAGACATAACTGTGACTTTTCTAAAGAGTGCATAACACTGTTGAATAGATCATGTCCTGTGGTAGTGCATTTGAGACTCTCCATGGACAGCAATTCTTCCGTGATGCAAAAATGTTTGCCAATTCCCCTGATAAAAATCAGTAACTGCGCTGTGTCCAATACATCTGTGCTCTCATCTAAAGCTATTGAGAAACATTTAAATGTATTTGCCGTATTCAACAGATTTTCTTGTAAGTTGGCAGCAATAGCTTCTATTCTACGAACGGTAGTTGTCCGTGACATGAGAATTGCATCGATTTTTGACTTCACTTCTGGACAAACAATGTTGATAGCGTCAACCATGCAGTCTTTCACAAATTCTGCATCCGAAAAGGGCTTGTTGCTTTTTGCGATCTTGTGTGCTAAAACAAAACTTGCTTTTGTAGCAGCCTCTTGGGTAGACGAAAACTTGATAAGGGTACGCTGTTGCTGTTTCAGTTTTATAACCATATCTGCTGCCTTTACTTTCAGTTCTTGTGTCGAAAATTGTTGGCCAAAATTTTTATGTTTTGCTAGAAAATGTCTTTTCATATTATATTCTTTGAACACCGCACATGTTTCATTACAAATTAAGCAGGCAGCTTTTGATTTACCATTGTCCATAAAATAATACTTTTCTGTCCATTCCTTGTTAAAAACACGACATTCGGAATCCACTTTGCGTTTTTTATTCATTCCAATGAATTTATTACAAATGATGGAAAAATTACGGTACCCTCGCAGAGAAAGTTGATAGAAAAAGAAGCTCAATGGCCTGGCTTACGTTTATATAGTAAGCTGCACAATGTAACGAATAGGGTCATTATGACGTTATTTGATAGTGAATTAAAATTTACGGAAAATTCACTGATCAATAGGCATTTGCATCAGGGGATGCAATAATAACATTGAGAGATTATTATCAAGTGATGGAAATATAGACAGAATAATTGGATTTAAGTTCTGAAATTGATGTACCGGACAAAAGGAAAGAACATGTGTTGCGGCATTCACCGCACGAAAATTCGCTGGCCTAAACGCTGATATAGAGTTTTTGAATGACACAAATAATTCGGATGGATGATGTTGCACATTATATTCAGGTGCTGATGATACGTGGGTAATTGCGGTATTCACCTTAGCGAATGATTTGTTATTTCTTCGATATTTTTAACAAAAATTCATGTTCATGAAAACTATAGTCATAATTGCAGCAGTCACAAGTGGGCCGGATGAAACACTCAAGTGGGCCGGATCCGGCCCGCGGGCCGTAATTTGCCCACCCCTGCATTATTGGAAACAAAAAGTACATATAGATCGTTTTGTTATTACGTTGTTGTTCTTGTTGGTATTTTTCATTTGATTGTTAGGAAAAAATCGCTTTTCTCATTAACTACTAGACCAAGTAATTTGAAATTTTCAGTGGTTCAAGATTATATTTTTCGCTAGAAGGCTTCTATTTATTTCAAACGATTTTATTTATTCAATCGAACGATTGAATTTTGAAAAAAAAAAATACGGTACTATACATAAATTCGAAATACCGACGGGTATTATGTATATTGCCATTTAAATAGAATCCTCCAAGAGCTAACTACTATAAACGGCGGGTGTGATATGTTATGATCTGTGCAAAGTTTTGACCAGCGTCCAACTTCAAAAGTGTATTACTTTAGGTTACAACGATGGGACCTCCTGGAGTATGCGCACCAAGATGGCGCACAACCTGAACTCAGGTTGTGTAACATGTTAGGGTTCAGGTTATCTAACATCTTGGTGCGCATACTTCAGGAGAACCCAACGATATAATGGTAGTTCATATTAATCTAATCCCTTTGACCATCTCGGCGCTCGGTTACATTCTTTGAGTTCTGACGGTATTATAAAAGTTGCGTGATATTTCCCAGTGTGCGTAATGGACTTAATGCATCGGGTGACCGAGGTACGCCATATGATTAAGCAGTCTTCTTGGCTTCCCACTGGAGGTAAGATCGGGCCCATGAATTCCAGCCCGGCCCGATCCAGGCGTGTGGGTACCAAACCCGACCCGAGATTTGCAGGCCCGTGCCTGAAATTTCATTTTATTTAGTTTATTGAATTGTCATTGCAAGAGTTTAGTACGGTACGTGTTGAAAAGGCAACTTCTGTTTTTTGCAGACCACGGTCTCTTTTGTGGCCAAAATGCCTCATTTAAAGAAAAAGTCAGCGATACCGAATCCCGACCCGAACGTAATGATTAACATTTCAGACGAAACTGGCCGGGCCGGGCTTCAGATCTTAGCTCCACTGCCCACTCATCGTCATTAAAATTTGGTTTGGTTCCAGAGAAAGACAAGGAATAAATTAACGTGGTATTACTAAATGGCATCGGGTAGAACCATCCGAAACAATGTCATCAAGAACTTTGCACTTGCTTTTTACACGACATCAGTTGACAAATACACACAACACCACAATCATACTTAAGTGATTTATGATTCAATGTGCTTGCCGAAGATCTAGCAGAACAATAGTTCCCCGAAATTCAATGCACAATTCTATCATCACACAGTTGTATTATTTACCACAGTAAAATAGAACGGTTTTATCATAACAGTGGTTTTATAGACTCAATATTATCATCACAATTATCACAATAATACCAGAAATTCTTTAACAGAAAAGTAAACAGTAGCCTGCAGTGGTTTTTGTGTACACAATTTATATGGTCGAATCACAGTAAAATTACCAAAAGCAGAAATTAAACATGATCACAGATCGACTTTCAGCGACTCAAAATATTTACTGGCTTCCTTGACGTTAATCTAGAAAAAGCATAATAGTAATTGTGAGTTACATGCAATAAAATTGTCTGACAATAAATCTTCGAATCGTTAATTATGCTATTATAGTTGCTTGACTAGCTTTAAAAAAGCTTAAAATATGCTAGAAATTGGTAAAAAGTTGTTATATTGATGATTCAAAATTACTCAACTAGTCAAACAAAATGTATTAGCACTGAAACAGATGTAAAGCAAACCATCTACCAAAGCAGATATAAAGCAAACCATCTTACCGATTTCCCTCCAGGTTTCCATGAAGCAGGACATACCTCTCCATGTTTATCTGTAAATTGGAAAGCCTGAACAAGTCTCAAGGTTTCATCAACTGATCTGCCGACAGGAAGGTCATTGACACTTGAATGGCGCACTATCCCTTTGCCATCGATAATAAATAATCCTCTATAACACAAAGCATAAGAAACACTGAACCGTGGAGCTTCAAGCAAGCAAACAAGTGCTGATCTTTATCAAGATTATCATTAAGAGCCTTATCACTATTTTATTGGCCATGAACAGTCAGTGCAATTGGTGAAATGCTCGTCTACAGTGATTCAAAGCTATATTACTAATATTTCAAATTTTTTTGTAGCGATATTAGAAGAGTCATTGAGGAAACTAGGTATCCTGCCGGACAGCATTTATTCGTCAATCAATTAAGTACAGTATTACTGCATAAGCATAGAAATCATATATATTCATACATCACGACATAGACCGAGTGGCAGGGACAGTTATGAATGCAATGATGATCATACAAATAGAGTGGATGTTTGTCAGACTTGGGATACATGCATATCTATCAGTCAAAACTATCTGAAAATCAAGTTAAGATACCTGAGAGCGATTCCCTTATCTTCAAGCAGTACACCGTAATCACGTGATATATCTTTACAAAAATCTGCCAACAAGGGTATGTTGACCAAACCAATTCCTCCTTTGTTACGAGGAACGTTCGTCCATGCCAAGTGACTGAAGTGGGAATCTGTAGATACAGCAACAACAGATGCATTCATTGTATCAAACTCATGAGCACGGTCACTGAAAGCTGTTATCTCTGTTGGACATACAAGTGTGCTGGAATGTGAAAGAAGAGAATGCTCTGAATGAAATAAATATACAGTCATGTGTGCATATCACTACAGTGTGAATAACTCTGATGTTTATCACATAAAATAATTTCACTTCGAAAATATAGTACTAAATGTGATTGTATTGATTGATTATATACCGTAATACTAATATTTCAACAAAATTTTAAAATTTCAATATTAATTAGATATTAAAAGGATGTGCAGTACTCATGCAAAATTGAAAGTGCTTGAATAGGATATATTATTTACTTGCTATCAAAGGATCATGGAAATTTTTCTTCCTAGTCTGGGTTATTTATATATAATAATATCACATAAAAATAATGAAGAACAACATTATAAAAACAAATGCCCTTACAAGTCCAACGGATAGAAGAATAAAACGAGATATTTGCCAGAGAAATCACTCAGTGAAATTTCTTTGAATGATCCATTAACAACTGCTGTTCCTAATAAAAAGTAACAATTACATAATAATTTAGTGTGAGCATGAATTGGTCAATGCAGATGGAGTATAGTATACCTTTAAATTCAGGAGCATTCTGAGTGACATGTGCTGCCAAATTACGAGAACTCATGCAAATAGATCGACATGACTGCACATTCTGTTAAGATAAAAATTATACATGCTTCTTGATAAAATACTGGGTGCTCAAAAAGTCTGTACTGACTGATTGGTGAATAGAACGCCAATGGCTCAACTATTGTAAGTTTGTATTCACTTTGAAATCATTCAATTATGCTTTGAGATAAAATTTATTAAAGTGTAGAATAAAAATAAAAACCCAATAAGAGTATAAATACACTACTAAAAATGTGTAAAACAGAAGCTTGTCTCAAGTCTATTGATTTAAAGTTCAGTCATTACACCTAGTTATATAATTAATATGGTTAGATTATAATTTCCTTGATAAACAAGTTGATTTTTTCCAATCGGTGAAGAAAAAAATGAATCGAACACAAATTATAGGAAAATGATTATTACAACCAAAGCTGGTTATCGAGCAGAGCCACCTGTTATATATTAAGTCAGTTAAAGTATAGGAATAATAATGATATTATAATAGTCTAATAGTGGTCAACTATACACACTGTGGCAGAACACCAGATGACAATTTGTGTCATGGTAGCATGGCCACTCGCCGAACAAAAGTTGTATAAATTTGTTTGATGAAGTTGTCATATTGATTATTGTAATAATATTGAAATCCTAATGGAATTAATGGAGGCAACTGCGTCCCACAGTCAATCGGTTAATAATATGTTCCTGAATTTGATGACAAGAATATACGATAGGATTCACAAATACAGGTAAAATATGCTGTTCTTTTCTTCAGTATTATGACATGTAAATATATAGTATAGAATTATAAAGAACGGAGAAAATATCCAAATACCAAGAAATTGTCCCAGATTGTGAAAAGTTTACATAAGTTGCAGCACACTGCTAGTTTAAAAGACACACGCAGAAGTTTTTCTGATTCAATTTAAAGTGACCCTAATTTTGCTTAAAATAAATACTAAAACTGTAAAAGAACTTACTGTGACTCTACGCAGCGATCGATAACAAATACTCCCAAGAAAGTTCAGCATCATGAACAGCCAGCTAAATTGTATTCACTCAGTAAAGTAATGCCACCTTGCGAAATCGTAGTACTAAAACTTCCTTAGGTTCAAGGGTCGCAAAATCATATTGCCGATTGGCTATCATTACGGAAATTCGATGCCTCAGGAAACATTTATTGTGAACCATTGTTCATTTTGTATGTTGTGGAATTTTAGTTGAAACGCGATATCCACAAACGGTCCCAAGAAACCTCGGGAGGCATACGCTACAATTAGTGCTCGAGACCAAAACAAAATGGTTAATTAAAAAATTATGATGAACTAGTTGCACAATGACACCTGTGGTTACGGAAGAATCCATTGCGAAGAAAAAAATAACAGCAATTTGAATAAACGGGAATATATATTGTTCCATATCAACCGTACTGGCCATATACAAAAGGATGTTATGTATTTGCATTGAATTTCAATTATAGGCTTGTGGCGTAGGCCGTGGTATATCCAATCTGAGTGGGGCATATTACCATCCAAGTACCTCAGTCCACTCTGATAGTCTTCAAATGAAGTCATTCTCGCAAATCTCTATGAAGTGTAGAGCACTCATTAACCTCCCCAAAAGTTACAAACGGATCGCCCATGATAAAGCGAGGCTATACACAAAGCAAGTTATGAACCTAACAAATACCACCTCTTTCCAATGAACTGCACCTATTCTTATCATAATGCATGGATTTATTAGACTGGAAAAAATACAGAACGAAATTGAAAAAAAGCATTAGTGGGACATAAAAATTTCTAGGCAGTATGTCGTATCAGATATACTTCCATCCATGAAGATTTGCTTCTCCAAAAACATGAAAACAGTATATATTTTTTCAAAGATGCGAAAAGCCAATTGTTGCATTTATATTTTTCAGGAATATACCTCAAGAACAGATAGATTCTTGTAATAAATCTATTCGATAGTTAGCAAAAGTTTGACAATGTTTAAGAGTACTACGGAAAACTTAAATACACACACCATCAATGCCCAAAAAGTTCAAAAGTGCCACAAAAAACTTAAATACGCACACCATCAGTGCCTGATCCTTGAACCTCATCTCCAGATGTACCTACTACTCTTATAATCCATCATAAATGCCACCACAAGCGTTTGCTACACCATTGGAACTAATACAACCTGAATATTTTATAGCAGGTGGGAGGGAGTCAAAATACGGATGGTTTATTGCTTCTGCCATTGATATTCTTTTGGCAGGATCATATTCAAGCATCCGCGCTATGAGATCAAAGAGTTTCAAATGTTCTGGATCATCCTTTCTATGAATGTAGCCAAGTAAAGGTTTACAGTTTTCACGAACATATTTTCCTGCCGAAGAGGATTTATCCCAATCCAATTTACCGCGATAAAAATATTTCTGTCTGCGACTTCGTTTAATCATCCTCTGAGGTATTGGTCCAAGAATTCTCTCCATCATCGCTAAGTGCTCACGATTGTCATGTGTTTGGAACATTGTTATGCCCATGTAAAATTCAAATATGATTGTACCAACTGACCAAACATCACATGGCTGAGACCAACCCAGTTCTAGAAAGAAAAAAATAAACTACTGTTAACTTAAAATGAAAAATTAAGCTGTGCACTCGTCCTTGCCAATTGAACAGCCTGCATTCAACAGAATTGTGCAGTTATATCTTATGAACCTACCTAAAATAACTTCAGGTGCTCTGTAATGTCTAGTTGAAACAATTGTACTGTGATGCTCATGATCAAATGTGGCCGAACCAAAATCTATCAATCTGATGTCAGGGTTATGGATAGTCTTTTCATCTCTTTTGCATGAGGGGTTGTAAGAAACACAACATTCAGAATCATAAAAAAGGATGTTTTCTGGCTTCAAGTCTGTATGTGTCAGATGATTATCATGCAAAACTGTATGAAAAAAATGAACAACTTCATTAAAAAAAAACTCAATATAATAGATATATCGAATGCATGATGTACACATTTCTAAATGGCATTGAAGGATAGATTCCAAATGAAACAATCTAATACAACTCTGGAAGAAATAGGTACATACATTTCACAGCCCAAACGAGTTGGTATGCCATTATTCTGACGTGGTTCATGGGATAAGGCAAATAATGATTTTCTTTCTGTAAAAAAATAATAAAAAGTTAACAACATAAATGTATATATGATGTACATGACGTAAGATAAAAATATACCTGGAAGTCGAATGTGCTGAGTCCAAGAAGTTCAAATGCCAGACAGACATGTCCATGATATTCAAAAAAGTCCATCATTGTCACACAAAGGCTTTAACAAGAGTAAAAGTATAATTGATGTTAATTGCTGAAATATTGTTAATGAAATAATAAGCTTTATCTGTATTTAGAAAAATAAATAGTCAGCAAACTCCGATAAGATCATTAGATTATATTACCTATGAAGCATGATCTTAAATAACTCGCTAGGTACTCCCGCAGTGTGTTTACCAGGTTTGGGTAACGCCCTAATTTTATTCTGACTTTCCTATTTTAGTTCTATTACGAGTTCAGGGACAGTATGTTTTAGCCAAGCGAATATACCCCCTGCCCATGGATTTCAGTCCCTTCACACAACTTGATATAAAGTAGGCGAACAAAATTAGTTACATCCATATTGGTACACACACTCCTGGACTCCTGGAGCTCCACCTTTTCAATATAGGCATTATTTTTAGGGTTGGGAAATTCAATGTAATTCATTTCCTAGAATAAACCGAATCCAGAATCCCATTCTATTCTTATTTACAGTGGTTTAGTTGAAGTCCGGAATTCTCTTACTGCATTGATTGTTTATAATTTTTTTAATGCAAAATTGTGATGAATTGCAAAAAATTGATGTAATCTTCAAGCACTGATATGACAAATTAGGAATAGCATCATACACAAGATAGTGAATGATACACCGAGAAATGAAATTCAGAATTGTTATAATGAATTATAATTATTGGGAGAGCAGATTGGTGAAAAACAGATTCAGATTTTTGACCACCTTGAAGATTTTACAGCATATGGCAACTTTAAGCAGTGTTTTTCGGCAACACCGATCTTGCAGAGATTGAATATGACCCAACCAGCAGACCTTATTTACCATCGCTGTGTAGCCTTATTAAATTCGAAAGAAATAAAATCTGTTTGAAGTTTAGACTGAAAAAAATGCTCCAAAACGACCAATCTCATGCTATAATCTTGTCATTTCGTTGATCATACAGCATTCAGAATTGCCCATGTATGAATCAAACTCACTATTTTCCATTAGGATCTTTTTCCTGTATTTTTTTCAAAACGTTGACCTCCATATATGCAGCTTCTTTGTACTTTTCTATATTTTTGATAACTTTTAGAGCAATGTGCTGTCCATTTCTGGAAAATGAAACACTTTTATGAGGATTACCTCAAGGCAAGGTAATATAGTTTGGAATAAACATGCCTCTGAGTCAAGTCAAAGGCAATCATGTATACACCAGAAATTCATTCATACCATAAAAAAATATGGTGGCACATTATGCAACATTTTCATGGGACATTGTTACTAGTTTCGGCATATTCAAGATGGAATTAGGAAATCCATTCATCTCCAGAGACCTTGATCAGTATACATTAGGATGCCATCTACATGAAAATTTACGAAATAGAATTCGTGAAAGCATGATGCAAGGTTTCTGAACGACACACAATAAGAGTACTCCATAAATCTATTGAAAAAAAGAATTAACTAAATTAAGTCTTTACCTGCTATGATCCTTACAGTGTAAAACTTTTCCAAATGTGCCTTCTCCTAGAGTGGAGAGGATTTCGTCTGTTAAATGAAAAACGGAAAATTAGTCCCAATTAAAATGGTAGTGATAGCTCCTTTAGGCCTATGACATTGATACACCTAAATACTGGACAGATATATGATATTATGCATTGTATACAACTTTCACAGCGTGAACAAGTCACAATCGGTTTACAACAAAAAGGCTATCATGAAAATTGTGAACAATGCACGTTTAAACCTAAGAAAAATAATATTGCTTATAAGCACGAAAGTCATAAGAACATTCAGCTTGCCTAATTAGTGAATGACCGAAAAACCTGATATGGGACAGTAGGACAGTTACAATAAAAAAATAATCTAATAGGGCTAGTGAGCAATTTGGAAGACAATACATATCACATGCAAAAAACATGTGGACAAAAAAATTCCCACAGCATAATTTATAACTAATTTATAAATCTTCTCTTATTAAGTACATCTCGCTTGCAGCCAGTCGCCATGCCGATAGATAAGGTGACCTTCTTCGTCATCCTGAACACTCTTTGCCCTGCCATTCTTGTTTCTATGTAGCTCTTTCTGAGACTGTCACGCCAAGATGCACGAGGTCAAAGCACCAGTGACGTTCATAAGTGAAAGTGTGTTGTTGGACAGGGTGTGTATCAATCAATGCCATCATTGGTACATATGCGATATGTGGAATATAACCAGGAACCACATGAGAAATTTGTCAGGAATAAACAAAAATAAACATCTTGCACAGAGTACAACTCTAGGGCAAGATGCACACACAATTATATAATGTATGGTGCCCTGGTATAATATTTATGTACTACTTCAGTATCATTAGAAATCTCATAGAATCGAAATAATTAAGCAATTGCACTACATGTCATATTGTTATCACTACCAAGTTGCTCATGTGAACATTTTCTAAGGGCACCATTATGGCCAAATTTAAACATTTTTTGTATCATTATCAACTTATTGAAAATCTTAACTAGCCGCCAATTCACTTCAGACACTACACTTAAAAATGAAATCGGGAACTAACACATTGTTGTTTTTTTTCTAATAAAAAAACTTACCTGTAAAGCCAAGATAAAATTTCACTGATGCTTAGAAAGATGTATTACAATTAACACCATGAATTAAACTTCCATCCAATCTATCGCCTTATTTAAATCATCTAGCTTTCCCAACTCATCAGGTCCTAATATAATGTATCGAAGGAAAAAGATACAAGATCACATCAATTACACTCACCAAGCCAGATGGAGATTTAGACCTATGTCTCCGGTGTCTATTTCTATGCCGTCTCCTACTGTTATCACTGTCAGAATCTCTTCGGGTAATATGCTTGTATCGTTTGTGATAGTTCATCTGACTGTTATCTCTACTGTAGTATGGACCATTACGACTGCATTGATGCTTTCGACTCAGATCCCGGCTGAAAACACAAAAGGCCCTGATGAATTATTTCAGCCAATGTTATTAGTGGAAAAATGGTCTGAAAAGTGCAAATAAAAAATCACCTGTTTGAATTATAAGTATAATCATACGAGTTATAATCATCAAGTCTCCTTCGTTTAGTTGAATGATAGCTTTGGGAGCCACTATCTCTGTCACCACTCCGATAGCGTCTGGTTCGTCCCATTTCTGGCACAGTCATTACTGCCAATGTTCCCCAACTCTGAAACACATCCACATTTAATGATAGAGACATATAAGTCAACTGTTCTTGCCAAGGTTGGAAGGCATATTAAAAATGGGACCTGGCACAACACACAATCATATAAATCGAAGTTACAGCCGGATTAGTGGGACTGGCTAAGGAAATGAATAGATATAGTACAAGTCAGGAATAATTTACAAAACATTTTTACATATAATGGCAGACAGTTCACGAACTCCAGACTAAAGAGAAAAGCAGCAACCTCAACCAGCTTTCACTCCATGGAACTGTGGAACGGCAGCCACAGGTGCAACTTAACCTTTATGTTGGAATCATAACAAGCTACGGAATCCTAAGTTTTTGATGATGCCTGCCTTCCAGTCAAACAAGATTAATAGCACATGACGAGACGAATGGTAAAGTTTATTCTTTAATTTAATCAGGTATAAATTATCAGATTATTGAAATAGGTGCCTTGAAATTTGTTAGAAAGTAAATGACTTTTTCCCTTTCAAAAAATATTTTTCATCCTAAATAAGTAAAAAAAATTTCACAACCAGAAAATTTTGTAATTACTGAATTAGTTCCGTAGCTGTTTTGGTCATCAGTGAGTGGCGTATGGACATTGCATTTATCCATTTATATAGAGATATGATAACTTGACTGCTAGAATGGTGTCTTTATATAAACCGGAATTGCCAAGTCTGTGCAATGGTATCATACGACAGGCAGTACGATAATTACAAACAGGACTTAAGTTTCATGCTTAGCAGACTAGGCTATATTTTTTTCAGTCTACAACACAGAAAACCAATAATAAAATAAGGAACACAGACAACAGGACGAAAAGATTGGAAGAATAACCAAAATCAATCAATCAATTTTACTTGGTCGCTCTGATAGAAACAAAACAACAATAATAAAATAAGGAACACAGACGACAGGAAGAATGGCCAAAACCTAGAAAAAGTTTATTTGTGCCCATTCACCAACACTTACACAAGTGAAAAAACACATCACGACAATCTTACAGAAAATAATAAATTCACGAGAAGCATAGGCCTACATGAACACGAGAAAAGAAAAATTAAGGGCGAACCTTACTTGTAAAAGTTAATCTGTTTTGTCGTCGTCGTAAATTATTTCCGGTCTTTGAAAGAATCTGACTAATCAAGTACTGAAGTAATCTTGATGCAGTGCAGCGGTAATGAAGATTTGCCTCCTTGATTCGCCTCAACCGCTCTATTCTCAAAATCAGCGCTGGCCACAGATGTCTTCACGAAAGAAATCACACGAACTCTGCGAGAAATGGCGGCTCGGTAAATAAACAGCTGACAAAAACGGGCGGCTTCGAATCGCGAAGCCCCGGATGTACGCGGAATTGTGGGTAGTCAAAAACTTGACTATCGCGTAAAGTTTCAGTCGCTGTCACTGTGTGTGCCAGGGTTGCCATATTGGCTTTTTTAACGCCAAATTTGCCATTTTTGGCTTTTTTCAAACGCGTTTGGCGTCAGAATTTCCGTTTGGCTTTTTGGCGTTTTTTTTGGCTTTTTTCAAGTCTATTCTAGTGTCTATTATTAAAATCATATGAAATACAATATTTAGTGTTCAACAACTGAACAATGTATAAGTTTATTTCGAATAGAGAGAGAGAGAGAGAGATTTATTAATTTGTCAACCAAAAAATTGCAGTCATCAATACAGTAAAAAAGTAGCAACAATAAAATTGTTTTGGTATGGACAGGAGGGAGCGATACAACCATGCGGTCATCGAGGTCAACTCCCACCTATTTCGCTTGTATGAATAAGATTCAAATTTTAAGATGACTTAATGAAAAAGTTAGACCAGTAATATTTTTACAAACTTTAGGAACAAAAAATAATATAAATGTAAACAAATTATACCTAATAATGAATTGGGACTTAAAATAAACACGATATAACCTGAACGGGTAAGAATAATAAGGTGAAGAATGAAGTCAACATGAGATATAGTTGGAAACTTAGTTGCACTAGTAATATCAGTCGGCTTTAAACTATAATAAATAATTATTTATGTAAACATTTTAAATATATGTATAAAGAAAAAAATATATATACAGCGGATCAAGCGCTTCAAACAACATGGCGAAAATTTGCAACCAAGCTAAGAAGGTATTGAAACTTAGTAATATAACAACTTCTTTATCATTGGAATTAAAATAAAAAAATACTTTTCACAAAATTTATATTCAATCAAAAAGAAAAGGACACGGGGGATCAGTGTAGGGGGCATTTTGGACTTCAATTCTTAGCCTTATTAGCATTGTCAAATGTTTGAAGATTCCACCAGAATATCAAAAGCAGGATAGGATTTACATATTTATCCGGGGGGAGGGGAAAGCCGATAAGATGGCTTAACCATATGGCGAACCACTGCAGAATACTTGAATTTTTATTCCTGGAATTTTAATAAATAACAATCGTGTAATCAGGGAGGTTGTATACTTGATACATTTTTGCACACAGTGATATCAAAGTTTTTGACTACGGTAATTGAAAAAGGGTAGAGCTCAATAAAGGTACTCAAAAGATCTCATTTATATAAATACAATATTCAAAAGAAATAATATAACAGTAATCAAACATATAGGATAATTCTTATATCATTTGGATAATTATGAAAGTGATGGACAACTAAGACAAGTACAGTATGATTAACGAATTAAACGGGTTAATAGTTGATGGTTGAATAGAACAACATTGCACGCTATAAAGAAATATCAGGTTAGGAAAAACATGTCATTTAAGATTGCACACTGCAAGTTTAATTATATTTTGAATATTGCATAAACAGGTTGCATGAGTTCATTAAATTTTTAAGGTGAGGTCTTCTTATAGGCCATATTAACCCATGCATACTATAAGTAACAAGAAATTGTCACTGTATAATTTCAGTACCCATGTGACGTAAGAAAGTGTGCATAATATTTTAGCAGTAGTATAGAGAGCACAGTAAATATAAATATAAATTGGTACAACATGAATAAATCACAAAAAATGAGATGATCAATAAAAACAGATTAGTGGTGTCATAATGTACAATACAGAATGAGTATGGGAGGAAAATTCGCAAAGATTGTAACAAAAAGAATGCATTCAATGGAACTCATCAATGTAAATAACAGAACATATATCAGAAATTTCCTAGTACAGTATGAGTTGTATTTGTTTCCAAATATTGGCATAGAGGGTAATAAATTAACCAAGGTGCTATACAACTTATGACCCACAAAAAATTAAGGGCATCCACAATTTATGGTATCCACAGAAATATAGAACATATATGATAGTCTATTACCTGTACTTAGCTACTTAACATCAGGCTTTCCCGGAGCATCGATTCCCTTGTTTGTTACATTAGATAGATTGATAGATTTTATTTTGAAAACTCCATAATACACACAAAATATAATTGGAGAATTCTGGAGAACGAGCAAAACCTTTAAAAAAGTTTAAAACAAGAAAAATATCAAGTGCCCGCCCACCAGCACACACAAAAAAAAATGACAAAAAACACAAACCTAGTTAAACAAGGGTTGGGCCAGAAATAAAGAAACAAAAGACACGCGAATGTATTAAACCTTCGGGCTGTTTTACTTTTGAAGCACTCAAGCTACAGTAATAATAATTTATACAATCCTATACGGAATATCTGCATATATATGCCAAATTTAAATGTCTTGAAAAGATTGTTAAATCGGTTGCAACATTAATATCGAATTTCCACGCACAACCATCATTCCAACAGGTGCAGTATTTTCTGAGCTCTGTTCCATCATCCACAACTAGATTCATCAAAGGACCCAATCCTCGCAAAACACCCATAACAGATCGTCCACAATTCAACTTTAAATCCAATCTTTTATCCAAATACTTTTAATTCTGGTGGATGGGCTTTGTTTATCTTGATATTAGGCGATACGAACCAACAGTAAATACAGAATGACATGCCGGCATGAAAAGATGTTTGTCGTACGCCTTCAAGAGTTATGTTATCAGCTCGACCGAATATTGACACGAAATGTATTGTCGTATATTGACACGAACCTGTTATTTTTATGCTTATTTAATATAATTGGGTGGCAACTGACTCTGATGACCCCCAAAGGTCGTATCGTTGCCCCCCAGTCATATACCGAAAACTATATTTTTGATATTTGTTTATGTGTGCATAAATTGTTTTCTTGGTTTGACAAAATGAAATAAACTCTCTCTCTCTCTCGACTTTTATCCAAGTTAGTAAATTCCAATTGTAATTCCGGTCAAGTAGCCCCTCCAAATCAAATCCCGTTGCAGAACATTAGTTCTATTTATTCAGGCGAATTGGGATTGAGAATCGACGAACTTAATACAACCAAATACTCCAATAGTGTTGTTACTCTGTACCAAATACTGTACTCATGTCTTAATACAACCAAATACTCTGTTCTACTATAGGGTGAGTTTTATATGTGTTTACATTGACCAAATACTCTGTTCTACTATATGGTGAGTTTTATGTGTGTTTACATTAACTCTTAACCCTACCCAATAAGAAATAATTGCAGTTTCTGCAGCTGCTCAGACAGATGTTCAAGCGGGGTTGTAAACATTGCCTGGTTTTTATAGTTTTGCGTGTTATTTGTCAGTTTTTGGCTCTGTTTCCAAAAAGTAATTGTATAACTCAATTTTCATTATGCCTGATATGGTTTATGTGAGCTTTAGTTTAATTCTGCAATTGCAGTAATCAAAATTTAGTCTCACGAACGATGTGATTAACTACGCTAAAATTAATGAATTAGATATCAGTGGTCCACCTGTGAGCGGCACGGCGTTAGATAATTTTTTAATAAAATTGATGATTTATAAATTTAAAAGTTAAATTTTTTCTATAGTAAGATACAATATAGGGAGAATTTTTTAAGGTATATTGCAAGTTTAAGTAGAAACATGTAGGTATGTTACATGCTGAAGCGGCACCCTGTCTTGTATATTGAATGGTAAAATAATTCTGTCCACTTGATATTTATTTCACCTTCTAACGTTCTATAGGAACTTTACTTTCTATTTGTGTGCCTCACTGAATGACATGATGGCATTACATCATCATCAGTACGTTGCCAAGGGCTTAAAATCTGACTAATCATGGGGCTTTTGTACTTGGTAAAATTGTTGGCTTTTTCTGGCTTTTTTGTGTCTTGATTTGGCCTTTTTTGATCGCTGGGATCTGGCAACCCTGGTGTGTGCTCACTGTGGCCTGTGCATCCTCTACAACTTCGTGAATTTCTCATACAAAAATGGTTTGGTAATTAACCGTCATCGCAGTAAAACTTCAAGTGTGCCAGCCATTAGAATATATCGGTACAAACTTTGGAGGTGAGCTATTACGCTTCCTATTGTAGTATTGATCCGCGTTTGCAGAGTAAAAAAAAGTTCGTACAAAAATTGTTTCACACGTTTTTTAGCCTATTTGTTGCTGGCCACAATGAATCGGTTCAGATTCTAAACAGCCCTTGAAGTGTTGGTATGATAGCACACACTGACAAAATAGTGGTGGGACTGTATTAATAACTAGGCCCTGAACGTTCACAATAATATTTTGAAATCCTGCACAATCAGACAATGGTTACAGGTTTTCTGTCGCCAGAAAGAAATATTTATTATCACAAACAAAGTCAGCACTATGGCACCTTCAATTAATAAATAGCAAAAAAATTATTAATAATTGGTTGGGTATTATTTGTGAGCGTGAGTACGCGATACCAGTTAGATCACAGACACTCCTGAGTCCTGACCCATATGCATTTGATATAAATACGTTATCACTCAGGTATAGCATCGTGGATAATCGTGTGTGAGTAAGCAATTCGAAAGCCAATACTGTAAGTAGTGATTCGGATAAGCCACGCGAAGTGTTATGGTCGTATCACCTCCCCCCTTTACAAACATATGTTCTCAAAGTGCTAAATTTTATTTAAGATTTGTTACTTAGAATCTCCCAATTTTGTTTTAGAAACTTGTAAAAATATTATCGCACTAGTTCAAGTTTTTCCACTAGTCATTTTCCATTGTTAATATATCCACAACAGCGCATATGGTGGAAGCTCACCGTGTGGTCGTATCGCTCCCTCCTGCGCATACCAAAACAATTTTATTGCTGTTGCTATTTTATTGATGACTGCATTTTTTGGTTGACGAAATAATAAAATCTCTCTCTCTCATACGCCCAAGAATTTTATTTTAATTACAAAGCAGCAAATACATTCCAGTCATTGAATAAGGTATTTTTTATTTATTTACTAAGGAACATTAATCGGTAAGTAACAATTTTTGGCGATCCCGTAGTATGTGAACCAA